GAGAAATCGTGTCATCACAGCAAATCAGATCAGCGCTCGTCTTCAAACAGACACTGGTGTGAGAGTGAGTGGCCAGACGATTCGGAATCGACTGCATAGGGGTCACCTTCGCGCCCGACGTCCTCACGTGATCCCTTGTTTGAGAGATCATCACATTCAGGCAAGACGTCGTTGGTGTAGGGATCGTCAACACTGGGATAATCGACGCTGGAGCAATGTGATGTTTTCAGATGAGTCAAGGTTCACTGTTGATTTTTTGGACAGACGTAGGAGGGTGTGGCGTCGTCGAAACGAGCGCTTCCAAGACGTTAACGTCATCAGACATGATCGATTTGGGGGTGGTTCTGTTATGGTGTGGGGAGGCATCACTGTTGCTGGAAGAACGGCTTTACATGTTGTTGCAGGGCGTGTTACAGGCCAGTACTACCGGGACAACATCTTGGCAGTCCATGTTGTGCCGTTCGCACGACGTCATGGCCGCCGTTTCATCTTCCAGGATGACAACGCAAGATGTCACAGGGCCAGGATCGTTACAGGTTACCTCCAACAACAGAACATCACCACATTACCTTGGCCAGCACTGAGTCCCGACCTCTCCGCCATCGAGCATGTCTGGGACATGCTTGGACAGAGGTTACGTCAACGTCAACAACGTCCTGCCAATGTCCAAGAACTTGCTGCTGCGTTGCAACAGGAATGGGTCAATCTGGACCAAAATGACCTTAGACGTCTCATTAGGAGTATGCCACGTCGGATCAATGCTTGTTTGGCAAACAGAGGAGGATTTACCCGTTACTGACTTGGTTGTGATGCTGTGGTAACTTTGCTGTTTGACCCCGGGTATCATTTTACCCTTATAATGGTCAGTCTGTGCCTTACTTAGTCTAACGATCATTTGGAATAAATCGATGAATGTGAACTTCATTTCATTTTGTCATTTGTTTCTTCGTCAGTTTCATTAGGTGACTTTAATAACACTTAAAAATCAAATATCCCCTACTTTTTTTGAATAGTATATATAATTGAAATTAAAGATGGCAAAATAAAACTACATTTTTATGCTAACGTTTTCACCCCACGATAGCGGCTCTTCAGGCTATCGCGGTGAAAACGTTAGCATAAAAATGTAGTTTTATTTTGCCATCTTTAATTTCAATTATATATTACCAAAGAGCAGCTTTAATTAACTATTCTACTATATATATAAAGATTCTATTCTCAGGTAAAAGTATATAGAATATATGTATATATATATTTCTTTTATTTTTTTTAGGGTCTCCTCTGTACAATCGGTTATGGGTTTAATTATTCCCTTAGCATTAATAATTTTCATCTACCGTAGTATGAATAATATGTTACAGGTAATATGTTTAATTTTTATATGCCCACATTTCAGTGATAGCGTATTATGTCATCACCTTGTCCGTTCCGGAGTTATACCACATTTGCCAAAAACCTTGTGAATGTGATAGTCTACAGATTTTATACCCCTATATTTTCCTAGACTCTGTCAACTGTACTGGTACTACTTATCACACTGCAAGATGCATAGTGTGTAGAACTAGTGTCAGAGCTTTTAATAAGGGGCGTCTGCGTTAGAATAGCCATCAAGCAAAAAGAAAAGCTTAATTGTGGTTACTATTCATGGAAACTCGTGAGAAATATATGTGTTGTCACACTAGGGACCGGGTATCATTCAGATTTGATGAAAAAAGGAAAGAAACTGAGCTTACCATCTATAATCTAATACACATATTCAGTTAATAGATTGCCATGCAGAAAGTATTAAATACCATCAAGATTCATCAAATAACTCCCAGTTTGTGCTACCGTTTAATTTAAGGATGGGGTGCCAGAAAAGTATTTATCGGGTGGTTATTTCCAATAAAAGTATGGCAATTTTGGTATATATGGAAAGTAGAGATATCCAATCTTACAAGAAAAATAGTGGATTCCCCGAAAAACACTCATGGAGCATATACAGGACAAAAATGTAAGGGTTCCCCTAATCAACAGCCCAACGATTAGAAACTTCTGCACGCGTGATGTCAAAGGTCAAAAGTGAACATTGAGCGCTTGATGTACAAGTTGATAAACTTTATGAAGAGTTAGACGTACAATACTTTCTGAGATGAAAATGACGTGGGTAGTGGATAATCCGAGAATTTAATTAGGATTTGATATTTGTAATAAGTAGTAAGCGATTAAAGACAACATCGTCTTATGTATGCAATGAATTCTCCTCTGACTCCCAAGACGTGACGTAAACATGACCTGGTTTGATCGAATTTTAATAGCAGGGCATTCCTTCACAATTACAATGTTTGAGAAGGATTTGAAGCATAATTATGACAAATTAATTAGTTTGAATATGTTTTTGGTCCATATATACCATTAAATCACCCAGTTTGTACGCGGGAACCCATCTTTAAGAAACACCATTTAGTTTTGACATCGGTCATCTAGTTTATGACCATTTAGTTTAGTTTTGATACTGGTCATCCAGTTTATGACCATTTAGTTTCATAAACTAGACAATCGATGTCAAACTAAACGGTAGCACAAACTGGGCGGTTTTTGATGAATCTTGATGGTATTTAACACTTTCTGCATGGCAATCTATTAACTGAATATGTGTATTAGATTATAGATGCAGGGCTGTCGGTAATTTTTCACAGATGATTAGCAGCACTGCTAATCAAAAAGTCCAATTTTGCCAAATTTGATTAGCAAATTTAAAAATTGATTAGCAGTTTTTCAGTTTCAACATAAAACACCTAAATAACAAGATTATTTTAACTTTAATTAATAACAAATGATTAGATTTCATTCTTAAGATTTTTTTAGAATTGTAGCACTTCTACAGGTAGCTGTGAACATTTACGAATGAATGTAGACTTTTGGTTAGGCCTTATGTCTGGGCAGTGACTTCTTATTTCTTCGTTAGAAAACAATTTCGTCTGCTTTTTATCGCGTGTTATTATTTTTGTTCAATCATAAGCACACGGATTTTACGAATAATCTCGATTAACTAGATGCACGCGATATAAACAATAATAATTTACGGGAATTCTTACTTTGATTTCTCATTTTACAATACGTTTACACATATTTATTTTTTATATTTTATTTACAATACGTGGGGGATACACTGAATTTAATTTTTTTCAAATTGAATACTGATATAATTTCTTGAAATTAACATGTCTCGCAACGTGAGTGGTACTACTTGATTCCCTATTTCCGGTTTAATAGTCCCGATTCATAGAGTTATGTCCCAGTATTATATAGCATTGTTATATAGTATAATGAATTGAGTCTGGGTAGATCGAGAAGAAAATGTCACACGGAGAATTCCATTTTGTTTATAAAATTTATTTGATATTTTATATACGTTAAAAGCGTTGAGAAATGTGGATAAATCTTTGTGTCAATATCCAAAATGAAAGGCATGTTAATGATTCGCAGTTACTGCGAATCAAAAACGTTAGATTTTAATTTTTGATTAGCAACGGACAAAATATGTATCGCAAATTGCGCTGCGATACTGGTTGTCGGCAGCCCTGTATAGATGGTAAGCTCAGTTTCTTTCCTTTCTTCATCAAATCTGAATGATACCCAGTCCCTAGTTTCAGTAGTCGCTTAAACCTGTCAGTACTTGAACCGTACATCAGTATTCCTTTAAATAGTCAGTAATAATCATATGGTGAGTATTTAAGTCAGTTGGTTAGTATTCCTTACTTGTGTCAGTATACAAAAATAACGTGACTAATTAAACAAACGTGAGTTTATCCGAACATATCACTAGTCAGACGCGTGCGGGAGAAATTGGAAAAAGCGTGACTAATTAAGAAACCGTCAGTATTTAGGCTACCGCTCAGTACCTGTGTGAAACAGACAGTTATCTTTGATGTGCGTCAGTAAGTGGAACCGTCGCGAGTAGAGCGTGAAATCGTTAACTATATAAATTTCTGGTGAGTATTGTTACTATAAGTGATTATAATTATCCTGAATAAATTAATTATTATTTATTAATATTCTCGAATTGGAGCAAATTTTTTAAACAATAATGGATGGCAGTCAACAAAGGGACTATTTGTCGACGATTTCGATTACCGTCGTAGTTTGCAAAAGACACAGAAGATGGTTAGATAGATCGATCTATTATAAATACCTTCATATTTAAATATGAATTTAAATGCTCAGTGGCAAGGTTTGATTCGTCACACTATTTGTACCTGTTCCCGTTCTTACAACGGGTTCCCCATGAAGAATACGGCGCAATGTGTATTGTTATTTAATTTACAATTTATATTTGTTCTCCTTACATGCGGATTGGCTCATGTTTTGGGGCAGGCAGCACTTTGATATCTGTATGGATTAAATTTTAAATCACAACTAATGGTTAAAAAAAGATCATCAACATCAATCTGTTTTCGCTAATTTTATTGAAACAGATAATATGATAGCAGATAACAGAAATAATGAATTTCATACATACAAACAAGCATAAATTCTGAGCACCGAAGAATCGTGTATTTTGCATGAAATGTGTAAATTAATTTTTTGTATAAATTTATATTTATGAAAATGGCATTACATTTAGATTATTTCATCCATTTACATTAAGGGTCTATCTACAGTTGTTTATTAATGATATGACTTTAAAATGCATATCTATATTATAATACTTTTGACCATTATGACGTGGGTTTTTATGACGTTATGACGTCAAACCTCTGGGTCGTTTAAGAGTTAAAAACAATAATTCAAGTAATACAGTTATTTATAAAATGTCCATGTCTGTTCTTATGTAATGTTAGCAACATTTCCATGCCAAATAAATGTTTAAATTTTAGGTTATTAAAATATATGATTTTATTTATTATATTAATCTTAAATTCTTAAAATTATGCTTTATTTAGCATGTAAAAAATCTCAGTAACTACTTACATCAACACTATAAATAGAAATTTTCTTCAAACTTTAGTGCTAATAATATGTTACAAATCTGCCAGAATGTCTTCCACATGTAACATTAGCAATGCAATTAACGTTAGCAACAGTTGCATGCCAAATAAATGTTTAAATTTTAGGTTATTAAAATATATGATTTTATTTATTATATTAATCTTAAATTCTTAAAATTATGCTTTATTTAGCATGTAAAAAATCTCAGTAACTACTTACATCAACACTATAAATATAAATTTTCTTCAAACTTTAGTGCTAATGTTACAAATCTGCCAGAATGTCTTCCACATGTAACATTAGCAATGCAATTAATTTTTAAATTAAAAATTAATTTGTAAATCATATCCCATGAAACTTCAGATTTAGATAATGTATTATTACATTAAACTTTTGAAGAAAATTATTAATATATATATAAGCAACAGTTAATATCTGAAAGGGAAATAAATGTGCCATGCGTCTGTCCAATTCAAAAGAGACAGATTTACAAAAATGGTCATGTTTACTGTCTTATGAGCCAAAAATAATAGCATCTTCATTTATTTAACATAATTCAATGTATATTCTACCTATAGAGATTGCTATTTATATGAATTTTAATGTGCATTGTTTGCATTTGATATAATTTCATCTACAGTGATACGCTTCAAAAAATTTCAATAGGTTTAGGTATAATGTTCAATAAAAAAATTATTTTGCAAAAAATTATCTTTTTTCAAATATATTTTGGAAGAATATGTATCAATCTTCCCTGAGACAGGGATTTTGTAAGAGCATTTGGAATTTCATAATTCAGATGGGATTGGGAACCTATGGTACACTTTGAAAAAAAACATGCAGTATAGTTTCATTACATCAATACCTTGACTAAGATTGATAATGAGCATTTTCTGCTCAGAGTAAGAAGAGCGATAAGCAATTTGATTGGTTGAGACTATGGAACACAATAACTCTCCTTCTACTTGAAGTAGAATGTTCAAACTTGGTTTAGGCATTCATTAGGTCAATGCCTTGATGGAGTTCGAAGATGAGCATTTTCTGCTGTGGGTAAGCAGAGATAAGCAATCTGATTGGTTGATACTTTGGGGCACAATAACTTTGGTTATAATGAGGTGAGAGCGATGAAACTCTTAATATAGATTCATTATATCATTACCTTGACTAAGTTCGATGGTGAGAATTTTCTGCTTAGGCTAAGGAGCGACAAGCAATTTGATTGGTCAAGACATTGGAACATAACAACTCTGCTTTTAATTGAGGTATTGGGGATCACGTGGCTAAGTGGGTAAGACGCTGGCTCGCTAGCCTGGAGGTCGGGTGTTCGATCCCTGCATTGGCCGAGAAAATTCATTCAGATTTTCCGGCGTGGTTTCTCCTTGTCAGTGATGCAGGATGGAGGGCCTGACAAGGACAGCTGTCTAGTCGTTCGGATGGGATGGAAAACCAACATTTTTAGCTTATGGACAAGTTGATGAAACTTGAAATGTATGTTTGGTTCCTTTCCGTATTCGCGCATATCTGATTGTAACTTTCTGGATTATAGCCCCTGATTGTACGAAAAATCGCGTTAAAGCTTGTGGCCCCTCTAGAGGTTACAATTTTTATCCGATTTAAAAGGCATTCGAATATATCACCGTTACACCATAATTACTGTTGAGTTCACATTTCCTAAAAAAGAGACCGAGCTGCCCGACAAAATGGCCGCTCCCCTAAAAGCATATAATATTCAGTTTAGATCTAAATATTAAGGCCACCTGCAGATTTCGCCAATGTCACGAGATGTAAACAGGGCTAGCGCAAACACTAACCAAAGATCTAGCCCTTACCCTAACTCACAATCCTCTGCAACAATCAATCTCTTGCCCTAACCCTGTTTACATGGTGTGACCTTAACGAAATCTGCCAGTAGCTTTAACATTAGGATCTGATCATAATACCCAGGTTGTAAACCATCATGCTAATTTTTTATCCAATTTTGATGAAATTTAAAATATATATTTATATCCCAAAGATCTGGGTTTCTTCGATATTGGTTCGTATTGGACTGTAACTTTCTGGATTCTGATCCCCTGATTGTAGGAAATATCACGTTTTTAGCTTACGGGCCCTCTATAGGTCATAATTTGAATCTTATTTTCAAAACTGTTCAAATAAATCACCGTTACACAATAATTATTTCACAGAATAGCTTTACGATGGTAGACCTATTGTATGCAAATATCATATTATGATTCTCAGTGATGGCTATATACAGGTATCTCAGTATGGGTATATATTCATGCAGGTATCATACTATATAGTTCAGTAACTATATAATATTATAGTTATGTGGGTATGATGTATAATATGCTGGATGTTTCAGGTACTAATAAGTGTGTGTAACATACTAGATAGTTCAATGGGTCCACTGCATATAGTGCTGGTTAGATTTTAAGAAAAAAAAAAAAAAAAAATCTGTATATAAGGGTAAGCCATCTTCATATATCATACTCAATAGCTCCTGGAATATTTATAGAATGACGTGCTAAATAGTTTTATAGCTATATTAACGGCATTTATAACGCTGTAAAAGTCCAATACTATCTAATAAAAGTCATTCTCGGATATATTTTATGTAGATTATATCGAATTGAGGAGCCGCGGTGGCTAGGTGGTTAAGACGCTGGCTCGTTAGCCTGGAGGTCGGGTGTTCGATCCCTGCATTGGCCGAGAAAGTTCATCCAGATTTTCCGACGTGGTTTCCCCTTGTCAGTGGTGCAGAAGGGAGGGCCTAACAAAGACAGCTGTCTAATCGTTCGGATGAGGCGAAAAAAAAGAGGTCCCGTGTATATATTGGAATGCACGTAAAAGATCCCCTGGCAGTTGGAATTCGATATAAGAGTAGGCGATAGTACCGCTGCCCGGGCAAAATTTCCCTCATAGCACACTGTATGGCGTATGCTCGTCTTCATTAGCCCAGTATAGGACGTTAAACCCCATTTCATTTCATTTTCATTTCTATATCTAATTGAAGTGTCGCTGTTTGGTCTGTGTGAGAAACATGACACTGGAATTTACCCTACACGGGTAATACCATATGCAATATGCAAGCACCACAATTGATGTTATACTCTTCAAAAAAGGTAGGGGATATTGAAATGCAAATACATATGCAGGTTGTGATATGATAAATAGTCATGGAGACTTGACATGCATTGAGAGTATGTTCACAGATATAGAACTTATCGCCCCAACAGAACCACTGAGCTGCTCGTGTGACACGCAATAGCGCCATACACGTGGAAGGGGTTCATTGTCAAATTTGACACTTCAAGGAAGGGTTGACGAAAACTGCCGGGTGCTGGTTCATCCTATCCATGTTTGCTTTCCTATCGGTTCTTGCATAAGATTTACTGTTTAGCTTATTTTTGCTTTAGGGTGTTACATTTAATTTGCAATTAGACGTCTTCAACATGATGAACGTCTGCATGCTATTGGTATGCTTTAAATGGGTTCTACACAGCGAGCAGTAACCAACATGCTTAATGTGTCACAGTCTGTGATCAGCTGACTGTGGAACCGGTACCAACAAACACACAATGTTGATGATAGATCTTGTTCAGGTCGTCCTAGAGCCACTACACAAGCCCAGGATCAATACATTCGTACACAGGTACTGCGAAATCGAGCACAGACGGCCAATCAGCGACGACCACGTGTTGTGCCTCCATTAACTCGCCAGCACACGGCAAATAGGCATCAATGATGTAGGCAGCGTAGAAATTGGGGTAATCGTCGATGGGCACATGTCAGACTGCATGACAGATTCGGGCGTGGATCTGTTATGGTGTGGGGAGGAATCACCATGACTGGCAGAACGGACTTGCATATTGTTCAAGGAAGGGTCACTGGTGTTGGTGTGTACTACCGTGACCACATCCTGGCATTGATAGTTCTGTCCTTTGCTCAACGTGTAGGTCGACGTTTCATCTTTCAAGATGATAATGCCCGTGCCCACCGCGCTCGTGTCGTGAATGACTACCTCCAGCGTCACCATATTGTCCATATGCCTTGGCCAGCCATGTGTCCTGACCTTTCTCCTATAGAGCATGTCTGGGACATGATCAGGAGACGTGTTCGTCGACGTCAACATCAACGGACAACACTGCAAGAATTGGCCGTGGCACTGCAAGAGGAGTGGGTCAGATTGCCCCAAATTGTGATTGGACAGTTGATTAGGAGCATGCCACGACGAATTGCTGAGGGTCTCAGGATTGGTGGAGCAATTACACATTATTAAGACAAAAATCAAAAATGTCCATTTTCACTTTTGACGGTGTATCTCTTTGTGAGTGAAATGGGGCCGTCAGATAAGCCGACCATATGAACTGTTTATGTTCATGTGTAGGCAATTAGCCTGTTATTAACATACACTGGTTACCTCTAATAAAAACAGCAGTGCATTTCCGCAGTTTTGTATTGTTTCTGAATATCCCCTACTTTTTTTCAAGAGGATATTATAAAATACAAGTTTCGTAAAAGACAATGTGATAGTTCTACTAAATGCATATATCGTATCGTAACAAAATATCTGAAAGTAAGATAAAAATAAGTATTGTACGGGGTACTACTAGATACTCAATCTGTTCCTCCCTAACTGCATTGTTTTCACATGTGAGTTACCTAGGCTAGACACTTATTATTATGTGAAAATTTCTTATTGAATAGGTCTCAAAGTTAAATACAGTATTGGGTAAATATTTACAGGGCAATCAGTATGTGATTTTCATATTGAAAAAGATTTGCAAATACCATGCTGAAATTTAATGACAATTTTATTTCATTTTTTAGAATTAAGAAATGTCTAAATGACTTTACAAGTTTATAGCATCTGATACCATTTGATATCTATTTGAGTTTTGGTTTACATTACCGATGGTGTCACTTGATACTGTCCCTTTAGGTGTTGATGTTAATCCCATATCCATCAGGGACGGTTGTCTCATATGATGTGTGCTGATATCCGCTTGATAATAGGTGTTATGTGGGTGTTCA